CCTAATTTAGCTGTGTAAGACTAGAGGGAAGGCAGCTAGTCATCACCACCCACCGCCAACTTTCGGAGTACTCTTTTACCAACGATTACCGTCACATTATAACGCCCCCACGGCTGGAATGGCGAACATGTTTGGTGGGACGGGGATTCGAACCCGCAACCTTCAGATTGCGAGTCAAGCGCCCTAACTACCTGGCCATCTACTGTAATCGAACAGTGGGACTGACCGTCACATTATAACGCCCCCACGGCTGAAAGGGGCGAACATGTTTGGTGAATAAGATGGAACTTGTGAAATTTAATTTATTAAATTTAAGATGTACTTTAGATATTTCGAACACTAGATTGATTGAATATGCAACATTCAATTCCTTAAATAATAATAGAGACTCTGGTCAAATGTGTACATGAATCTTTACATGTGACACACATACACAGTTCGGTTTCAGTGCTATACAATTCGACAATTAGGCTCAATCAACCTGATCACGTGTTTGTGGGATATCGGTCGAAAACACCGCTGACCGATTACAGAGGAGGTCGGCCATAAAGTATTTTTGTGGTTTGTCTGTCCGTAAAATTTAAGCCTAATTTTCATTGAAGACTTATTAACAAGTCTTCTAGTGGTAGTTATTACACGACTAGCGAACTGGTGGGCCTATGGCCCACATTTACAGGGCCGCTATAATACAAACTTAATTTCTTTAACCAAGTTATGAACGGCAATTATTAGGCCTACTTATTTACGTGCTCTAATGTAAATCAATGACAAATTTGGGATCCGCTGTCGGGAAATCCCCGTAAAAACGTTTTCGCGAACTATCATGTTTCTGTAATGGTATGGGTGAAAAGTTTTACCTCGGCGCTGAGACGATTCGTTTGGCAACATTTAGAAGTTGGTAAGTTCAGCAGTTTAAGAGAAGGGATTTTCGGGACACCCCCGGGTTCCCCAATGGGTGGGGTGAAAATCTTATCTTTGTTCAGGCCTTGGGTACCCAGACGATTCGTTTGTTACCAGTAATAATTTGGTGAGACAAGCAGTTGACGAGGAATTACGTAACACGCAGACAGACAAACATAGAATCTTATTATAGTCATTGTACTTTAAAAGACTAACAACAGGGTCACCACAATGGTTATTTTAATTTTTATTTTATCTGAAGGAGCTCTATAATTACATACACAATACCAACATGGTCATCAAGAAAGTTTTACCATTGGATTCAAAGATTTACTTACTGTAATAAATATTACAATCTAAAGGTAAAACGTGACACTGTCACACACAAGATTAGATGATAACTTGCTTTTAAACCTTCATTCATTTTCACCTCCAGATATATAGGCTTAATGAACCTTTTACTATTCAATAACAGGTGAACAAAAAAATCTTTTTACTACATCGAAAAATATACAGAATCTGTACAAAAATATGTTCCTTCTTATAGACAGCGTGAAAATGTTATTTAAGTGCGATACAAATCTGAAAATCCTTTTGAAGCTTAAACAACTGAGTATAGGACCTTAAGACTCAAATGATACTCCCTTGTAGACAGGCTTAAAAGTAAACAAAAACAGGATTATTTAAAGTTCAAATAGCCCAGAGAATATAATCAATGGCACAAGATAAGGGAAGTATAAAGAATATTAAAAAAAAAAGAGTAAAACTTTAAGAAAGATTCCAAAACTAAAATATCTAAGCAAGAATGAACTTGGAGAAAAGCATTTAGTTTAACAGAAAAATGTGTATATTTGAAAATAAGACAAAAATTATATTAATAACCAATGAACTCCATTAGAAAAAAAAAATAGCAGTTGTATGAAGTCAGATCATATATTTAAAATTTTCAAAATGCCATCATTTTTATAAACAAAAAATTAATTTTTAGGCAACATATATATATACCAATACTACGGGTTCATACTTTCTAATATCACACCCTCAAATTTAACCCTTAGCACGTACTAGTAAACAGCCTCCTAATAAATATGTTTTCTTTCTTTTTTCTCTCAACATTCTGGTGATATTTTATAACAAAAATTCTAGGTGAGGGATATCGAATATTGAATTAGTAATTAAATATCTATCTTTCTATAATAAAATTAATTTTTAATTACAAGAATTATCACTAAACAAAAATAATTCAATACAGTTATGACCCAACTCTGGGTAAATATAATAGTAAAATCGTACGTCAACAAAGTATCTTATTAAATCTAAATTCAACTTATTACAAACTGAGAAAGAACTACTCCTGAGCAAAGTGAAGACTTAATATTGAAATGCAAAAATGAATCACTGCACAAAACTAACAAAATTCTGATTCTGTACGACTCAAAAAAAAAGTAGAACTTGCATAAAATTATTGATGAAAGTTTAATGAAAGTGGTTACTATAAACAGTCAACATTATATTTCTCTTGTTCTTGAGTTAATTATTGCTGCTTGGTAACTAGAAAATACCCTAGTGCTCAGAGGATGTTCTTATCAATACACTTCAGTTTTGGATTTTAGAAGTCTTAATGACGTGTAAGTTCGGTAAGCAGAAAGTTCATTGAATCACTAAACATAGTTTTTATAATCTCTATAACATAAAATTAAGTCCAAAAACTAACCTACATCTGTAAAAATTGGCAGAATACAAAATCTGGAAAAACACGTGGGCTGGAAATTTAGCTTTGACCAAACTCTAAGATATATATATATATATATTTTTTTTTTTCTCTCCATAAATCACTTTCAACATTACAAAACTTATAGGTACATTTTTCCACTTCTTAAATATATTTTAATCGTTTGGTTAGTTACAAAACTTACAATGTGGGAAACCAGTTATGGAGAAAAATTGTCACCAGAATGTACCGTACTTACTTATTTTGTGAGTAAATTTGATTACAAGATGAAAAATAAACACCAAATACTCTTGTTCTTAAAACGTTGAAATCAAGTCTATTTGAAATCTATAAATGCAAAAGGAACAAATAAAAAAAATCATTGTTAACAATCAAACATGTAAGAGGATGTTCCAGTGGAATGCAGTTTTATGATATGAAATGACGAGGGACTATATTAAGTAGTGGGGCCTGTCCTGTGCATTAGGGCACACGTACTGATGTCGAAGTGTGTTGGGAGCTGAAATGGGAAAAAAAATAAAAGAAATATAATCACTGATGGCATAAGCTGCATGACATTAGAATCAATCACAAAATATTTAAACTCTACACTTCTAATGTAGCATCTTAAGTAAATGGAAGATAGTAACTGGGATATTTAAAAAAAAATAATACTCAAATTTCCTTGAAAACTTTCAGTCACTACAGTCTTATCACACGATTAATTTTGCAGAGTTTAATTTAAATGATGATTCAGGAGGACATCTAGATATAACAGTTCAAAGCTTGCAAGCCTATTTAATGTAAATAACATAAAAAAAATAAGTAAGCAACCTGTTATTTCAAGTCCATCACATAAAATAACGGTGTACTATTTTTCAATAAATACACTTGAGACTACACACACGAGTCAATGTTGCAACAAACTTCAAGAGGAGACAATGAAAAAAAAGAAACTATGAAGAGAATTAACATCTCGTTATGCTCCTACATTTAAAAAATATAAAGCCCAAATAATGGGTTCTAAAGTCATTCACAATATTATACAAAGATAACTTTCACATTGAAACGAGTACACAGTATATTTCATATAATACTTCCATACTCAAGTAAAAACAAAACCTTTTCTAGTTATTTTTAGTTCTGAAAAACAAAACTTGTAATACTTCTATAATCATAGGGAATAGCTTGATTTTGTATGTTTGTTAAAAGTCTAAAAGAAAGAAATTAAACTTGTTCTTTATATAAAAAATTTCAAAACCAAACCTCACCTTCTGTTGACAGCCTTCTAAAGCTGTTTAATACCCCCCCCCCCCCAATATAAATGAATTTTTGTAAAGCTACAAATGCTTCACATTCCAGTGCCATATTTAACGTAAGTGCAAAGCAACAACAGCCCCCTCATACTGTGGGCCCTAAAAGTAATGCAAAAAACCTTACAAACTGCTATACTTATAGGTTATCAGTATGGACAAGCCCGTAAGAAAATTACACCGAGGAGTTTGAAGTGTCAAAGATGATCTGTAACATGCACTCACAAAGAAAAATCAGTTATAACATGCAAATATTACACGTGAAACTCAAGAGTAATAGAAAGTTCACAAGTTTTATCTCTCAGTAGTACATTCAAGCAACAATGGTTATTTTAATAATTACACTTAGAGGGTATTAACTTACTCCTATCATTTTTATCAGTTTTATCTCTCAGTAGTACATTCAAGCAACAATGGTTATTTTAATAATTACACTTAGAGGGTATTAACTTACTCCTATCATTTTATTTAGTGTTTATCAAATATCAAGATATTCATGGTGTGGATTAAAACAGGAGTAAAAATACATGTTAAGTTATTAATAATTCCCAGACATGACTTACTTGAAAAGATACAAATGAAACGGCACGACACGGTAGTTAGCCATGTATTAACAATAACTCGAATAAATGTCCATGCACACACACAGTACGAGCCCCATACAACAAGATATATCCTTTACCAAACGAATAACTTTCACTTGATTTAAAATTTCACCTTATTATTATTATTATTTTAAGTCCATCACATCGATCAGTAGCCAACTTCAAAGGGTTAAGCAAAACAAAACATATGTGTAATGTTTTAAACTCAAAAGAATGTTCTTCATGATAAATGGGCAATCTTTACACATTGGGTAAGTAATGTGTAAAAGTACACCTCACCTTAGCTCCAATTCGACTCAGGTAGCGATTTCTTAGGTGGAAGTCAGATTGTGAACGAAGCAGGTCTTGCGGTGTGACTTCCGCTGTAGACCCAGATATTGCTAACTTCTCTCTTTCTAAGAACTCTGCCGCCCTGTAGTGGAAGAAACAGTTTAAAAAAGTCACAGTTTAGTCATTTATTACTGTGCCAGCTACCATCACAGAATGGCTTTAGAAGCAAGCGGAAAACTTGTAGATGTTATTCAATTAACAGATTATTAAAGTTACTGAATCACAGAGAACAGCCATTGTACTGGCTAGAAACTAGTTCAGAAGTTCATCATAATTTAATGCCATTTCAGAATTTATCATCACAAATAATGTACAAAAGCACAGGATATTTTTTTTTATACAAGTTACAGCTTATACAGTAAGGAAGAACATTTTTTTAAACAGATACAACGTTTCAATCACTGGTACAATCATTCTCAGGTACAAAGGTTTTAACTGTAAAGAAGGTTTTTTGCACAAACCCATATACTTGGGAATGATCACACCGTTGATCAAAATGTCACACCTGTTCTAAATGAAATATTCTTGTTTACTGTAAAAGTTGTTACTTGTAATAAAACAATACCTATAATCAGTACGTAAACTCAAACGAAGCTATTCAGAGAATAAGTGAAACAAAAAGAAAAAAGATTTAGATTATTACAAAACAATGAAGTATGGATAATCTTATGATGTAAAGGAAAACCACCAGTCATTAGATTTTCATTATATTCATTTACTTCAAGATATTAAAAAATTAATATTTCTTAGATATCGGTTATTTCTCCGTATACACAGAAATGAAATTCATGTTAACTTTTTAAAAGAAGTTTTATTTGTAGATGAATAAAAAAAATGTAAGAAGTCAGGGTTACATCTGAGAATAATGTTTCAGAGGTAAGATACATTTATGTCAACAGAGCTACTTCTTCGTACAGAAACACTGTAACTTAATCACATTCAAAAGTTGAAAGATTTAAGTATTTGCATTTGTTTTAGAAACTGGTAAAAATATTGGATGATATTTTCAGGTATGTTCATGTTATTCGTTGATATATAAATGCAAGAAGAAACAAAATGAATAGTAAGATACCAAATAAAATATTCCTTACATCTTTCTTTCTTCCAATCTGTCTCTCTCAGTCACTGTTAGATTCAGAGGTCCACCTAAAAAATTAACAAGACCCCATTTTAATAAAAATATCTCTCTCGTGGACCATAGTCCTGTAACCATCATATTAAAAATTTGTCCTCATGTCAATATAGTAATTAATAATAATAATTATGTTTGGAATTTCCCGCAAAGCTACACGAGGGCTATCTGCACTAGCCGTCCCTAATTTAACAGTGTAAGACTAGAG